ATTTGAAATTTCATCAATTCATTGGTGTGACTGGTGCGACGTCTTAGTCCCAACACGCCTATTGTCCTTGAACTGACCAATTACACTGCAACACTGTAGAATGACGAGGTATCAGAGAGAGATAGCTACAGTTCGGGACTAATACGTCACGACTCCACCATCATATTTGGCTGTTTGAAATATCGAATGAAATATGCTGATTTCAAAACGATATAGATTCGATTCCCTTCAACTCATAATATTGATTGTACATAAAATATAAATCATGATTCGTCGATTGAAAGAGGTTTGCACGGATTTCTTCCCTCAGTGGTCTTCCCCATTTCCCATTGGAACAAAAATTCGATTTTTTTTTTTTCGAAAGTTTTGCATTTCTTAATTTTTTTTCTCTAGAACTCCACTAGAGGTGACTTAGGAAGAACTATTCTCATGTTTTGTGGAGGACAATGAAAGACGAAAAAAACACTACTGTGAATATACAGGATGATGAGAAAATAGGACAAAATCTCATTTCAGTAAAAAATATCGAAAATGGTGACTAAAACCATTTAATCTATGCTAAAACCATGGCCCATTCGATTCAGCATATTCCGAAAAGGCCTTCTCGATATCCATTATTTATATTGACTCGAGACGTTCGAAAATTCGCTCTAATATAAATACAGGATGAAAATTCTCAATACAAACTTGTTTCCTGATATCGATGATTCTTGTCAACTGATTTCCAATATGTATTGCCCAAGAATGAGACACAGAGTATTGTTGTTCAATATACTGAGTGTTTCACAACTTATCTGACAAATTACGAACACTAGAAAACAATAATGTTAAATAATGTGGTGACCAGCATTATCTCCAGATTTCAACCACAACTATGATATTACATAAGAAGTCTATCACATAAAAATTTTATAGAAGTAAAACGAGATGGAAACACTTATTTATATCCACTGTATCTTCACAATGAATGACCATCTTCTTCCATGTCTTTCAAGTTCCTTTTTGAAAGTTCAGTTTCCAAAATACAGTTTTCACTTCGCACCTGCACATTTTACGATATGGCAGCAGTATTGATACTTGGAAATACAGTTCTCAACACACTAAATGAACCACTCATAATTTGACTCTATTTCGAAGACCTGTATTTTTTGAAAAAATTGACCGATCTTCATGCGGTTTTCGATATCAGATGCGATGTTTCATCGGCTTCGAAGAGAGCTAGAACACTGAAAAAGTACGCAGAACAAAACTTACACAGGGTGTAAAGTGGAACCATTACACTATTGGCTACATTTCCAATGCTGCCAGAACTCGAGAAATTTTTTTCTGATCAAAAGTCAGTCATATTATGATACACTGGGACCTCATCTCGGGACGTTTTCGTGATTTCTTCTTAATGGGGAAGACCACTGATTTTATTTCAAAACACACAATTCCTGCGCCATTTGAAATTTCATCAATTCATTGGTGTGACTGGTGCGACGTCTTAGTCCCAACACGCCTATTGTCCTTGAACTGACCAATTACACTGCAACACTGTAGAATGACGAGGTATCAGAGAGAGAGATAGCTACAGTTCGGGACTAATACGTCACGACTCCACCATCATATTTGGCTGTTTGAAATATCGAATGAAATATGCTGATTTCAAAACGATATAGATTCGATTCCCTTCAACTCATAATATTGATTGTACATAAAATATAAATCATGATTCGTCGATTGAAAGAGGTTTGCACGGATTTCTTCCCTCAGTGGTCTTCCCCATTTCCCATTGGAACAAAAATTCGATTTTTTTTTTTTCGAAAGTTTTGCATTTCTTAATTTTTTTTCTCTAGAACTCCACTAGAGGTGACTTAGGAAGAACTATTCTCATGTTTTGTGGAGGACAATGAAAGACGAAAAAAACACTACTGTGAATATACAGGATGATGAGAAAATAGGACAAAATCTCATTTCAGTAAAAAATATCGAAAATGGTGACTAAAACCATGGCCCATTCGATTCAGCATATTCCGAAAAGGCCTTCTCGATATCCATTATTTATATTAGACTATTGACTCGAGACGTTCGAAAATTCGCCTCTAATATAAATACAGGATGAAAATTCTCAATACAAACTTGTTTCCTGATATCGATGATTCTTGTCAACTGATTTCCAATATGTATTGCCCAAGAATGAGACACAGAGTATTGTTGTTCAATATACTGAGTGTTTCACAACTTATCTGACAAATTACGAACACTAGAAAACAATAATGTTAAATAATGTGGTGACCAGCATTATCTCCAGATTTCAACCACAACATTACATAAGAAGTCTATCACATAAAAATTTTATAGAAGTAAAACGAGATGGAAACACTTTATATCCACTGTATCTTCACAATGAATGACCATCTTCTCCCATGTCTTTCAAGTTCCTTTTTGAAAGTTCAGTTTCCAAAATACAGTTTTCACTTCGCAGCTGCACATTTTACGATATGGCAGCAGTATTGATACTTGGAAATACAGTTCTCAACACACTAAATGGACCACTCATAATTTGACTCTATTTCGAAAACCTGTATTTTTTGAAAAAATTGACCGATCTTCATGCGGTTTTCGATATCAGATGTGATATTTCATCGGCTTCAAAGAGAGCTAGAACACTCTGAAAAAGTCCGCAGAACAAAACTTTCACAGAGTGTAAAGTGGAACCATTACACTATGGTCTATATTTCCAATGCTGCCAGAACTCGAGAATTTTTTTTCTGATCAAAAGTCAGTCATATTTTGATACACTGGGACCTCATCTCGGGACGTTTTCGTGATTTTTCCTCAATTGGCCATTGGAACAAAAATTCGATTTTTTTTCGAAAGTTTTGCGTTTCTTGAAATTTTCCTCTAGAACTCCACTTGAGCTGACTATTGGATAAAACGGTTCTCATATTTTGTGGAGGACAATGAAAGACGAAAAAAGCACTATTGTGGATATACAGGATCATAAGAAAATAGGACAAAATCTCATTTCAGTAAAAAAAATCAAAAATGGTGACTGAAACCATGGCCCATTCGATTCAGTATATTCAGAAACGGCCTTCTCGATATCCATTACTTATATTGGACTATAAACTCGAGACCTTTTTAAAAATTTGCCTCTAATTGAAATACAGGATGAAAATTTTCAATTCAAACTTGTTTCCTGATATCGATGATTCTTATCATTTTATCAACTGATTTTCAATATCAATTGCCCAAGTATGAGACACAGAGTATTGTTGTTCAATATACTGAGTGTTTCACAACTTATCTGACAAATTACTAACTCTACTAACCTTTTCAAAAATTTGCCTCTATATAATTGAAATAAGGATGAAAATTTTCAATTCAAACTTGTTTCCTGATATCGATGATTCTTATCATTTTATCAACTGATTTTCAATATCAATTGCCCAAGTATGAGACAGAGTATTGTTGTTCAATATACTGAGTGTTTCACAACTTATCTGACAAATTACGAACTCTGGTTCGAGATTCAGAATTCTGATCACCCTGTATCTGTTCGGATTAAATATCAGTAAATAGTAAATCAAAAGTTGAGATAGGGACATGTGAGCAGTTTTGGCAGATAATGAATAGTTCCGACACAAACAAATACAAAAGTTGAAAAATCTCGATTATCTCTGTAATCATTTCCGATAAATCCTAAGTTTGATGTATCGTTGAAATCAGCTCTTCAGGAAGAATCTAAAAATGCAATAAAATACAGGGTATTCTATTTGGAATAACAAAGTTGTTGCTACCTTTTTATAGAAGCGGCAACACTGCATTGCTGAAATTATTTCAAATTGAGAGAGCCTACTTTGAAATATGAGCAGGCATATTTTCATGGATTTCTCCCGACTGATTCTCAATATAGAGATAGTGAATAAAGCTCGTCGTGACATACACTGTATTGTTATCAATGCTTGAAACAAACTTGTCATTTTTTGATGTTAGTAGAAAAATTACATATCAAAATCAAGTACACTTGAGCAAAAATTATATTCGTTCAAATTAAAGGTCAGTGAATAGTGATTCAAAAGTTGAGATAAGGACATATGTGGGCCGTTTTGACCAATAATGGGTACTTTTGATACAAGAAATTCCGAAAGTTGAAAAATCTCGATTTTTTGCACCCTATTTCTTTGTGATAATTTCTCTTGAAACTAAAGTGTGATATAGATCGTTGGAATCAGCTCATAAGGAGGAATCTGAAAATGCAATAACATACAAGGTGTGCTATAAGAAAAAGTATATCTGGTACGCCACGCAGTTTTGAGTAACCCTGTATAGCGGAAATATTTCAGAAATGTACTGCTCATGAGACTAGACCATCACAAGTATTTTTGTTCATTTATTTCAAACAGCAAAGCCGTTATCTCACTTTGCCACACTATTGGTCCACCCTGTATGTCTACATGAGCCTTCCATCTCAAATAAGTACACTTTCCGAAAAAAAAAAAATTCTGTATTTTTTTAGATTCCATAAATTTTTCGTTTATGCCAATTAATACTTTTTCTTTGAAATTTCCGGAAACAAATCCAACTTTCGCAGTCTCTGGCGCTGTATTCATCAAAATCGTCACATCTCGGTATATACATCATATTATTTATTATGAATTTTTGGAATAATATCTGATGGAAAATGCGATTTCTATCAAAAGCACTGATGAGAAATATATTTTAAAAACTTCTTCTGACAGTTGTGACAACTATTCAAAGCTTTTCTCACAGTATGAGCAATACATGGTTTTGAAACTAAGTTAGCTATGAGAAATGCGCTACTTTTCATAGCAGTAGTAGAAATTTTTTTTTTATTATTTTCGCATCTAATCTTCACAATCTCATACGTCCCCACAACACTCGAGTCCCTGGTTAGCGTCCTTGCCTCCCCTACTATTAATTGTGCCTACATCTGATTTTCAAGTAGTTCAAATGAGAGCTAGGCTCATTTATTAAAATAAATGAAGCTCTGCCTTCAGACCAATGTCACTTGTCAGTGTACTGTCATCTTTTGTGTCAAAATTTACAAGTTTCATAATGAATAAAGCGTTTCAATATTTCAACAAAATCTATGAGAAAAATGTTAATTGTTTGCAAAATATCTTTCCAAAACCACTCCAACATCAAGCTAGTACGAATCGGAATGTGAGATCCTATTCCTCAAATTCTAGTCACATGAAAGTCACAGTAATTGGAGCTGCAGGTAAGAGAATACTTATTGCATCAATCAATTCTACATTTACTCTGAATATTTATGATTTTTTTTGCTAGTAAACATATTATTTATTGACGAGAAAAAATTTGAAACTTTTTCGGCTTCTCTTTAGTAAAAAACTATTAGTATATCACTCAACTAAACATTCATGGTGAATTCCTGCATGACTTGACTTAAGTCCTAACTTGAGAATAATTAGAGTATGTAATTGGTGACTTCAGCATTGATATTTGAAATTGACTAATTATTTTTTATTCCTAAAGTTGGAACTAAGCGTAGGTACACACATTGCATGAATTCACCATTTGTGTGAAAATCAATCGCGATGGAAGCGAGAGTCAGAAAAGGTCTGAGAATTCCTCAAATATATGAAATCCCACAATAGTTTCCTCCATTACTGGTACATTTTCTTACTCTATTAACAAATATCTTGATAAAATCTTGATGATGGTTCTTCGACATTTTCATAATCGAATTCGTGTTTCCTGGATGTGAAACACGCTTACAGGGTGTGTGAAATTCGATGGCAGCTCTATAAGAAGAAGAAAAACGGAAAAGAATTCCTGTCGAAAGTTGTTCTTTGATGGAATTAACGAGGTCCATTTGAATCCGATTTTTCATATTTGTAAGCTGAAATTACTTTTGACATATTAATTGAAACATTTATTTTTCCAAACAAATTTTGCGAAGAGGAAAGAAGAACATTTTTCATCTCGATCTGTTCTTAATTCTCTCTTTGATTTCTTCTTATGTCCCCTATACTTTTCTAATTTTTTATCTCTTTCGGAGCAGATTCGTTCCCGAGACGTCTAACGATAAGTAGAAATTCGATATTTTTTCAATATATCTATATTTCCTCTCTTCAAACTCTTTTACAAAACTGACAAGCTATTGGATTTTTCTTCTAGGCTCCCTGATAGAAATATTTTCTAGACGCAGTGACATTTTGGGGCAAATCATCTGATTGGTCCGCCTACTACACATAATATTGAAATATAATACTCATATTTTTATTTCATAGAAACGAGGAGAGAAAATCCCAAATATTCAAGAAAAATAGAAAAAATTGGTATATCCTGTTTATTTTTTTCTAGTGTTATTTGTTGGAGAATATCAAAATTGAGAGCACATTCACATTGCTACTTTTTCCCTGCTATACGATGACATTTTCAGATTCACCATGCCATTATCATTAATGAAAACTCAATATGATGGCGGCGGCCATAAGAAAAAATAAAGTTGATGATGGGTTGCGTGAAAACGAAACGCCAGATAGTGGATCTGAAAATGTAATCGTATAGCAAGGAAACAGTGGCAATCAATTTTGATGTTCTTGGTGTGATGCACCATTGATTTCAGGAGATTGAACGCTCTTGAAATTCATAATCAAAATTACAGGTCCGTATTCAAAAAACGAAGTATATGATGGCAGCTCAAAGACGAAACGTCGGTTTGAAAATATGATAACACCATCTTGTAGAACAGGAAAAGTAGCAATGTGAATGTGTGATTTGTTTTGTTACATCTATTCAAATAGAGTCAGAAAAATATAAAAGTTAAATCGCGTATATTCCTTTTTTTTTTCAAAAATCTTCGGAAGTATTCGGAATTTTTCAAATTTAAGAACAACATTTTGGTGGTTATAAAATTGCGCAACTTTGCCGCCATTTAACCCTTTCTGTAGCTCTTACTGTGTCCGACATCCCCATGCGTCTACTCGAATTTCACTCACCCGGTATGTCATTGTCATTGGCGGTCTAGTTGGTAGTTAGTCCAATAAATAAAGGAAAAAAGTTGACATTAATTACGCACTATTTTCATCTTCCGGTTGGAAGTAGCTTTTGGTACCTCATTAAACATGAGACAAAGTTTGACTGGAAAACGCGTGCGATGGCGGAGAAAATGGCCCCAAAAGACCAGAAAAATAGGTTTTCAGCCAATATCTCCTAAAATATGTTAGTTAGAGATTTTTGGTTCAGATAAAAATTGAAGATCAGTTAATTTTCTACAAAAATGGTCCCTATCATTTTTCTCAAAAATTTGCCCGGTTTCGAGAAAAACGGCACGAAGCGCACCTCGAATAATGAGCTTGTGTTGTATGCCGGAGAGCACAGTCCGTGTATTTACACATCGGTGGGGGGACAAATTATCCAATAACTAACTAACAATAATGTTAAAAATGCATATTTTCTCATGTCACGCTTGACTCTTTTGGCCATATCGGAACATGGGTCAAACTTTCTGCTCCCGGTCAATTTTGACCTCGCCAGGAATTCGTTCCTATTTTTTTTTTATTGCACTAATTTACTCGAAATCTTCTTGATTATGGGTTCTCATAAGGTCCTTTGTCATCCCTGAAATTTGTGTACCCTAATTTTTTTTAAATTTTCATTTAATCATTGTTTATTGAATCCCAATTTTTTGCTGTTTTTGGAGCGCGGGGATCTACTTTTCGATTGTGCAATTACTTTTTTAGACGAAGTAGTCCATTTTTCAATAAAATTAGAAAAAGCGGGGTCAAGGAAAAAACGCACTTTTTTCGGTGGTTTTTTTCTCCGTGCTCTTTATTTCTAACATTTTAACACCTTAACTAGTGTAACGGGGAAATTCCCACCTTTCCATCGATGTATATAAGTCATACCTTTGATATCCCGGGAAAAAAAACAGTATATCTAAATGTACACGCTATAATTTATTACTTTCGTTCCTCCGTCGTTCGCCGCGTGTGTGTCTACGTGGCGCTCGGGTCGTCTGCTACAAACCATGCGGCCACGCAGGGTATGATAGCAGCAGAATTCCTCTTTCACATGAACTTTGAATCATGAGAAAATATGCATTTTTAACAAAGTTATTGAATAATTTGTCCCCCCGCCGATGTGTAAATACACGGACTGTGCTCTCCGGCATACAACACAGAAGCTCATTATTCGAGGTGCGCTTCGTGCCGTTTTTCTCGAAACCGGGCAAATTTTCGAGAAAAATGATAAGGCCATTTTTGTAGAAAATTAACTGAACTTCAATTATTAACTGACCCGATAATCTCTAACTGCCATATTTTAGGAGATATTGTCTGAAAACCTATTTTCCTGGTCTTTTGGGGCCATTTTCTCCGCCATCGCACGCGTTTTCCAGTCAAACTTTGTCTCATGTTTAATGAGGGACCAAAAGCTACTTCCAACCGGAAGATGAAAATAGTGCGTAATCAACGTTAACTTTGCCTTCTTTTCCTCCTTCATTTATTGGACTAAGTTTATGTCGGTGTAAGCATGTGGTAAGGTACTAAGTTAGCCTATTTTAATTTACTTATTCCAGGAAAAATAGGCCAACCATTATGTCTCATGTTGAAACAATCGCCTCTCATCGACGAACTTTCGGTTCATGACATAACCCCAACTAACGGTTTCGCCTTGGAACTGAACCACATTGACACCAACTGCAAAGTCACCTCTTTCACAGGAAAAGACAATTTATATAGTGCGCTAAAGGTAACAGTTTCACCCGGTAACTATCCAGTTTTCTCATGTTCGATTTGCTTGCAGAATTCGAGAGTGGTTGTGGTTTTGGCAGCTGCTCACGAGTCAGATTTGATGACTTATGAGAAAATGTGGGGTCCTAATGCTCAGATTGTACAAGAAATTGTTACGCAGGTTGCTAAGAACTGTCCAAAAGTAAGTTGCGGCATTATATTTAACCTTCCAGCAGTCGCTCCTTAAAAAGGACGCTGCGGAGTCTGACTCCGCAATGGAGAATTTGGTGGTTTGAACATGATGACTTGATTTTTTCCAAAGATTTCATCAGTATGCCTTTGGACATGAATATCTCTACGAAGTAAAATGTCAAAATTGCATTAAAAATATATTTATTCAATAACAAAACCCAAAATTACCATAAGACAACTATCGAAGATGTGATAACTAGAATTTGAACAAAAACACTATAATTTGAGGACAAACTAAAAATGTTTCAATCTCAAACCACCAATCTCTGCAAATGAATAAAGCGGGTTCTAATAATGGGTGTGTCTTTTTTTTTACCACAGTAGCATCGATCATGTGTGTTAACAAAACAGTATTTTATGAAACATCATTAATCAAATGAGACAAAATGTTTGCCTAAAACGCCCAAAATAGCTGCAAAGTGTAACTGCAATATGCAATATAACTAAGACGTCTTAGGTCGCTGCGGAGTACGACTCCGCACTACGCTATAAAATTCAAAAACGAAGCAATTTTGCACATTGGTAATACTCGATTCGTTCTGAAGTCGTCATTTCAGGAAGGTACTGAGTGCGGCGGAATAAGGGAATGAAGTATATTCGAGAAAACTCACGTTTTATATTCGTGCGGAGTGATACTCCGCGTGCGACTACTGGAAGGTTAAGTAAGGCCTTTCACTTTACTCTATACAGATCTGGAAGAGAATAGCTGGCTTACAGGAATTTTCAATGCGTTTTGAAGTCAGATATATTGTAGCCAGTAGACCAGCAGCAAATATAACTGATATAGTGTGACCCACTTCAATCGATTATTTTTTCTTTATTTCGGCATAAGGTGTACCAAAAAATCTAACACGCATTTGCATAATTTAATTTCAATTTTTAGGGCTATATATTCATATAGCGATTTTTTTTTCAAGAAAATTGGACGCCACCAGTCCACCACTGGATTCTGTATCATTTAATTAGGTTAATCGCAAAATTCAATTGAGGAATTTCGATTAGCACGAAGTTATACCAACATCAATTTTCGTGACATACCTACCAATTTTTATGAATATTTCTGACAAATTCTGAGAAGTGGCAACATTGCCAACATAAATGTAGAGGAAATCATTGAGGTTTTCTGTAGACATTTGAATTATCATAACACAATAAATTATTCTCGATTTAATAAATATACCTAAATACTGAGAAGGAATATTATCAGATATATGAACGTGAAAAAATGGATATACAGGGTGAGTCAAAAATGTGTATCGAGCTTCCTGGAGGTGATAGTACATTGAATAATAAGTATAGTTTGATGAATTAACTAATGGCCCAAAATGTATATTAAAGGGAGATATATCCTTCCAAAACTTGATAAAATTGAAACAATTTTCCCGTATAACTTCTAAACAGAGGCGGACTGGGGGGCCGGGCGGTCGGGCGATCGCCCGATGGGCTGGGGCCCTTTGGGGCCGGTAGAAATAGTGAATGAATAAAGAAATATATGTCTTCTCAACAGCTTTCTGAAGTATGAGACCATTATATCTGCAATTTTGATTAGAGGAATCTTCAATTTCACCACTCCTCTTTCGAGCTAACTACGAATATCAGGTTCCAATGGATATTTTAGAAGCATACCAAATCGTCGGAAAAACCATGAATTCCTTGAAAAAATATCGCGAGAATATGATGTCATTTTGATTGATACACATAAAATTCATTGATGAAGCAAATCAACTATTTATTTTCAAAGAACACGAAATAAAAAAAGTTTTTTGATGAGAAAGGTGATGATGAAGCACCTCAAAATCCCATCAAGAAATTCAAAATCGAGACTTTTAATGTAATCATTGATAAAATTATCACCGCACTGGAATTTAGATTCAAGAAACATAAAGAATTGTTTCATGATTTTGATCCGTCAAGATTCACAGATGATCAAATAATATTGACTGAAAACTCAATGAGGATGATTTATGAAAATATCAAAAATTATTATCCTTCTGATGAAATAAGCCTTGATAGATTTTACCTCGAAGTGGGAAGACTGTTGATTACTTTATCAGAAGATATGATGGGTGGAGGAACTTATGTCTTCGATGTAGAAGAGGAATTGATTTCATCAAAACACAAGTTTTGCAAAACATGATCACTAATATCACTATGTTCCTTCCATGGTTTGCACAAATAAAATTTTTACGTTGAGGTATATCCATATTCAGATAAAATTATTATCACGCTTTCAGTATCGCACGTTTCATGTGAAAAATCTCTCAAGATTTAAATTTATTTTGATTAGGCTAAGAAATTATCTGAGCCAAGAACATTTGGGGGCTTTCATCATGATGAGCTGCGAAAAAACGATTTTACAATCAATAGGAAGCGACGATATAATTTTCGATTTCGTTGAGAAATGTGGATCCATGAGAGGTTCACTCGTTCTGTGATTTCGATATCTAATGCGGCTTATGTTTTATTTTGGATGAATAATTTTCCTAGTCTTTTTGTAGCTTTAATATTATTTACAAAGTTCCTTATATTCCTCCACCATAAAATTATGGTTTATTCTATCTATTCTTATTTTTCATTGATAAAATGTTATTCGTGTTATTGATTTCATTTTCCTTCAGTATATTTGATGTTTTATCGACAAATTTTCTCGCTCAAGTTTGATTAGAATCAAATCAAAATTATTTGTAACGTTTTTCTTTCGTTTTTGTCCATGTCACTAAAATATGTAAGTAATGAAATTATATGAATAGCTATATTAGCTTAGGAATTTTCTCCGGAGATGGGCCGGTAGGGTTCAATTCGCCCGGGCCGATTCAAAGGTCCAGTCCGCCCCTGCTTCTAAACGGTAGAAGCCACCAGATTGAAACTTCCAGCATAAAAGTATGACGGTAAAATACATTTTCCTGATAAACTTCTAAATTTCTGATATTCTTATATAAAGGGTGTTTTGGTGAAAAATAGAAGTATTTCATAGACCGAAAAAAATTAGCTAAAAACGGTACTCTCTTCAAAATACAACAATTGTTATCGTTTTCGAGATATTTGTGTTTTTGTAGTGACATAATATCAGGAGATATTCAATAATGATCGTCGTGGCATATAGCCAGGAAAGTAGTTGTTTCCTGTTGAATATACTGAGGAAGAATTATTATTTCCATCACATAAAGAATGCGAATTCTCAATGTAGGTTTTTTTCATGTATACAGGATGAATCAGGTTTGTAGGCACAAACTGAAATGGGAGATAGATCTCATCATTTTAATCAAAAAAGTTTACATAAACATTAGTCCGATCTCTATTAATTGAAATATCTCGCTTACTTTTTGAGATATCATCTTGAAATTTGTTGTGGTCTAGAAGATCATCATTTCAAGCCATTTAAAGATTTTTAAAATCGACAGGGTGATACGTTTCTAGGGGTAAAGGCTTCTTTATCCCCCCCCCAAACTTCTTCGTAGTACGCCTCTGGCATTTTTTAGTGATAAAATTGTGTGGATCGTCCAATTTAGAGGCTGTTTTCCTCCTCAATTTTTTTCGAGAAACGAACCGTTTTTGAGATGAATAAGCATATGCGTTCTAAAACATGTTAATTTTGCCTATGTTCCGCTTAAATTTCGTTTAACTGAAAAAAACGACTACACTCCGTATCCCCGTTAATGATCAATATGTTCTTTAAATCTCGTGCCAAAACTTCGACGTGTTTGCCCAATATATGTCATGTTACGATCCTTATAATTCTTCTCATACATACCCAATCATATCAATTTTATCTTTATGGTTGCCTGGAAAACTATGAATGGTATTTTTTGCAGTAAATTCTACGTCCAGCCCTTGCAATTTGAAAATACCATTCAAATTGTTCGTGACAACCCAATCCAAAGTATCTGTTGTTTGCAGGCTTTTCTGGCAATAAATCAGTGACAGTGATTGATTCATCAAACTTAATATATCTGAAATGATCAATATTTTCTTTAAATCTCGTGGCAATACTTCGGAGTGTTTGCCCAATATATTTCATGTTACGGTCGTTATAATTCTTTTCATGAATACCCAATCGTATCAATTTTATCTTTATGATTGTCTGGAAAACTATGAATGGTATTTTTTGCAGTAAATGCAATTGCAATTTGAAAATACTATTCGAATTCTTCGTGACAACCCAATCCGAAATATCCGATATTTGCAGGCTCTTTTGGCAATAGGCACCAATCCCATCAATAGTCTGGTGCCCATGGCTAGTGAGGTCCTGAAGAAAGCCGGTACTTACAATTCGAACACCGTTTTTGGCATTACAGCCTTGGATTCGGTCAGAGCGAACACTTTCGTAGCTCAAGTGCAAGGTTTGGAACCGGAGTGCGTTGTGGTGCCAGTTATCGGAGGACACACCGAGGAGACTATAATTCCCGTTTTGTCAAAAGCCAAACCTTGCGCAGAATTCACAAATGTAAGTTGAACGTTTTTTTATTATTCAGTAGGCTTTTTCATTTGTATGACTATTATATTACAGATTCCAAAGTTTCATGATCTTATCCATAGAGGTTACACCTGAACCTTCGCGTTTTATTGGCGGGTTTCAAGGTCATCAGGGAAAACATGTCTGACTTGCAATCTAAGCTAGGAAATGGACATTTTTGGCCCATTCGCGGTAGCCAAGGTCATCATCTGACGTTGCGATGACATGAAAACTACGGGAAAACATTCCAATCTATACTGGCTTAGATCGAGAGCTAGACAAGTTTTCCCGGTAATTTTCAAATCATCGCAACGTCAGATGATGACCTCGACTACAGCGAATTGGAGGATTTCAAGGTCATCATCTGACGTTTAGCGATTTGTGGTAGTCAAGGTCATCATCTGACGTTGCGATGACATGAAAACTACAGGAAAACATTCCTAACTACTGGCTTAGATGGAGAGTTAGGCATGTTTTTCGGTAATTTTCAAGTCATCGCAACGTCAGATGATGACCTCGACTACCGCGAATGGAGGATTTCAAGGTCATCATCTGACGTTTAGCAAATCGCGGTAGCTAAGGTCATCATCTGACGTTGCGATGACATAAAAACTACGGGGAAATATTTCTAACTTTCAATCTAAGCCAGGAGTTAGGAATGCTTTCCCGTAGTTTTTATGTCATCGCAACGTCAGATGATGACCTTAGCTACCGCGATTTGCTAAACGTCAGATGATGACCTTGAAATCCTCCATTCGCGGTAGTCGAGGTCATCATCTGACGTTGCGATGACTTGGAAATTACCGAAAAACATGCCTAACTCTCCATCTAAGCCAGTAGTTAGGAATGTTTTCCTGTAGTTTTCATGTCATCGCAACGTCAGATGATGACCTTGACTACCACAAATTGCTAAACGTCAGATGATGACCTTGACTACCACAAATTGCTAAACGTCAGATGATGACCTTGAAATCCTTCAATTCTCTGTAGTCGAGGTCATCATCTGACGTTGCTATGACTTGAAAATTACCGAAAAACATGCCTAACTATCCATCTAAGCCAGTAGCTAGGAATGTTTTCCTGTAGTTTTCATGTCATCGCAACGTCAGATGATGACCTTGACTACAACAAATTGCTAAACGTCAGATGATGACCTTGAATAATCCTTCAATTCGCTGTAGTCGAGGTCATCATCTGACGTTGCGATGATTTGAAAATTAGCGGGAAAACTTGTCTAGCTCTCGATCTAAGCCAGTATAGTTAGGAATGTTTTCCTGTAGTTTTCATGTCATCGCAACGTCAGATGATGACCTTGACTACAACAAATTGCTAAACGTCAGATGATGACCTTGAATAATCCTTCAATTCGCTGTAGTCGAGGTCATCATCTGACGTTGCGATGATTTGAAAATTACCGGGAAAACTTGTCTAGCTCTCGATCTAAGCCAGTATAGATAGGAATGTTTTCCCGTAGTTTCCATGTCATCGCAACGTCAGATGATGACCTTGACTACCGCGAATAGATTATTATCATTATTCTTGATTGATGAATGATCATTTAATTTTCATTGGTTTGAATCAAGTAAAATATATATTTTTCTACTCCCGAATTATGATGCTCGAATTAAATATCTGCTAGCGATTTCCTATTATATTGTTCCACTTTGACACGGATTTTCATCAAGATACAGATTTTGGCCATTGGAAATAACTTGGATATAATCAAGTGGGTCTATGATTCATTGTCAGATATTTAGCCACCGCATGTGATTCTAAAGTGTGCTGTGAAAAAAATCAAAATGTTCAAATTTCTATATTATTTATTCTTTCATTTTTTTATTTATCAAACATATCTTCCAGTCAGAACAAGTTCTGGTGTGAGGAAGAACATAATTATAAAATATAAGTAATAATCATCTATATCATTCCACCACTCATTTCATTTCATTTTTTGTGGAAACGCCAGGAAGAACTCGAAAATATCACCATGAACATCAGGAAGGCGCAGGAGAACATGCTGAAACTGAAACCGGCAGAAAGCGCTCCGTTGACCAGCGCGTTCGCCAGCGCTCGCTTCGTCATATCCTTGGTCAAGGCGCTCAGAGGCTACCCTGAGATAGTCGAAAGCGCCTACGTCAGTTCCAAGGCGCATCCCCAGCTCAAGGTGAGGGTTAACTCGAATAAGGTTTGGTTGCATACCCATTAAACGTGCAGCTTATTTTAATTTGCATTTTATTAAAGTTCTGTTCGTGAACCATCGCACTGCCTACACTTTTAGACGAAACTAATAGCGTATTCGACTGGCTGCACTATTGCGCATTCAATTCCAACTTTTGTCGTGCGTGTGTGTTTGGCTGGTATGCACTCAGACAGTACCAATATTATTTCTATTCGGCTGAACAGGCACAACTCAAGGGTAGAGTTCCTAAATGTTCTCGACACTGCTGTTTTGACGTTTTTTGTATATTAGAGTACGGACACTAGACAAGCAGTGACAATCAAACATAACCACAAACGATTTTGAAGCAAATCATATGTTTTGCGAGACAAGGACAAGAATATGTTTTTCGCTTAGATAAAGGATCCTCGCATCTTCCATCCTCCACAAGTCCTGGGAAGAGTACATCCATATATCTCTCTCTCTTTGATTTTTGTATGAGAGGCCATATAGCGTCTCCTCGAGTGGGTAAAAGGGTACGATAAATTGATTCGGAAATCATTTCTTTTCGAAATATTGAATGATAAGGCTGAAGGACCTCAATGGAGGTCGATATCAAGTTAGTAGGTACATAATGTATATCAACGAAATACATATAGTATTCCTATGAAATTAGTCGCTTATATGTAGTTCAGAATTGGGTAAAAACTGATAAATTTCAAGAAACATACTCTTATTAGTACAACAGAGTGGTAAGTTATAAGTAATTAATAAATAAACAAATGATATGGCAACAATAACAGCTGATATCAGTTAGGTTAAATAATATAGGTACTCCAAGACATACGGAAGTAGGTATAAATGGACTTCAGCGCTCCACTCACTATATAGATCGCCGTTCACATTGCTAAAGGGGATTAATAATAATAATAATATAAGTTTATTCAAAAACGTTTACAAAATATACATTGGAATAAACATAAAGGTAATTTGAATAAACTGGGAAAAACCTTACGAAGTTAACCTTGTAGTAAGGATAAAAAATAAATAAATGTACATAGGTCAATAAATATTTAACAATATCAAGTTATCACAATTGAACCAGGTCATCGGAAGATCGTTTTCAATACCTAACATAAATGGTGCACTTGTTAAGCGTTCTCGTTCTGTGCTCTGATAATATCTTGCTTGTATCTTGGTACCCAAGAAGTGGTTCAAAATCCACTAGGAGCTATGTAGTCTTTTAGCACTATATAAGAGTTCGGATACGAAGATGATCTAAAAAATCATTGGTTGAACAGGGATGTGAAATCAGTTTGAGTCAGTCAATTCAGGAAGTTTCTGTTATTTCATCATCAGATTATCTCCATGGTGGCTATTGTGATTTCTGCTCCATCATTCCTACACAAGCAATAACCAGATGTCTAAATTGGAAAAAGGTTCTTTTCGATACTCGCTCAGTTTATTAATTGTGGGTTTGGCTCTTTCTCTCAATACGATCCTATTCTCCAACTTCCTACCAAGAAATTTAAACACCTCGCAAATTTTGTGGCCTGAACCTAAACTACTTACCAGATGAAGTGGGACAGATAAAAAATTGTCTAATTTTGATAAGCTTTAACTCGAACATTTCTTGGCCGATATTGGATTTTCAACCAAAGGTAGAAAGCGTCATCCTTGGGCTATGCATCATTGGCGTCGGGTTTTTATTTTTGCGATTCGTTCTCTTTGTACAGAGTGTGAATTAAGAGTCGAAAAAATTTCAAATGTTTGACCAATAATTTGGGAAATGTGAGGGACCCTAGAATTCTTTTTCAGATGTTGGGTGAATGGTTGGACCGATACCTCGAGACGTCTTTGAAATTTTTTGAATAAATTGCGTTGCTATGGAAAAATCGCCATTTTATGAAATTTTATTTTTATTTCAAAATGTGGCCTCTTTTGGTTGAACAATAACAGCTAACATCTAAACTGGAGAAAGGGATATTTCTACTGAAGATAATTAACACCAGTGGCGCGCAAAAAGGGGTTTATGATATTTAGAAACGAAAAATTCGTTTTTATTGAAAAAATTCAACAGCTTTATTGATCGTTACAGTTGAAGAGGTGTCATATCCTTAATTAGCATGTTGTTGGCAAATTCAGAGGCGAGCAAAAAAAGGGTTTATGGTATTTTGAAACGACAAAAACGTTTTTATTGAAAAAAATCAACAGTTTTATTGATCGTTACAGTTAAAAAATTGCCATACATTCAATTAGCATGACGTTGACAAATTCAGAGGCGTGCAAAATTGGGAAATCAGAATTTCAGGCTCATTATCATCGTTTTTTTATACTTATTCAAGGTGAGCATCCAAGTAATCCATTGGCGTATTAAAGAGGATCCATCATCAAGGCGATTCAAAAAATTTGATATGGAAACAATTTAAATAATCTTATCAAGTGTTGTTCTTTGTTCACCAGTGAAAATTTTCTTGTATCATTATATTTATGAATGAAAATTCAGAAACGTCATTCTGGCTTCTGATGTTTTTCGAGCCGTACAATTTGATAATTTTGTCAGAAGAAATTTCAAAAAATCTTGTTGATTTTTTTCAATAAAAAAGTTTTTGTCGTTTCTAAATATCATAGTATCATAGACTCTTTTTTGCGCATCTCTGAGATTGTCAACATCATGCTAATTAAGAATATGACACCTCTTCAACTGTAACGATCAATAAAACTGTTGAAGTTCTCCAATAAAAACGAATTTTTCGTTTCTGAATATCATAAACCCCTTTTTTGCGCGGCACTGGTGTTAATTATCTTCAGTAGAAATATCCCTTATTGCAGTTCAAATGTTTGCTGTTATTGTTTAACTAAGAGAGGCCACATTTTAGATTAAAAATGAAATTTCATAAAATGGCGATTTTTCCATAGCAACGCAATTTATCAAAAAAATTTCAAAGATGTCTCGAGGTATCGGACCAACCATTCACCCAACATCTGAAAAATAATTCTAGGGTCCCTCACATTTCTCAAATTATTGGTCAAACATTTGAAATTTTTCCGGCTCTCAATTCACACTCTGTACAAAGAGAACGAATCGCAAAAATAAAAACCCGACGCCAATGACGCATAGCCGAAGAATGACGCTTTTTACCTTTGGTTGAAAATCCAACATCGGCCAAGAAATATTCGAGTTATAGCTTATCAAAATTAGTCAATTTTTTGGCTGTCCCACTTCATCTGGTAAGTAGTTTATATTCAATGCCGACTGCATCATATTCTGTTTCCATTTTTGTAGAATTACGTTATCCGATGGAAATTCGAAAAGAGTGTGATGTGTGATGCATTGATGAAATCAGCTCTTCAGTAAGAATCTAAAAATGCAATGAAATACAGGGTGTTCCATTTGCAATAACTAAGTTTGGGTCCACTTCCGGTACAACCGGATTTTCAAATTCGGCCCTCCTATGGTTTTCTATATATTGATCGATGCAGTTACCGGAGGGACATCCTGTATAGTTGGAAATGATAAACTTTTTCCTTGAATCAACGATAAACTATTACAGAAGTACTATAAATTTGTATTATTCATAACGGTTGGCAAAAGAAAACTACCGCAACTTTGCAAGATCTACTCGATACTGAAAATAAACTCAGCGTTGTTAATATTACTCCAAGTATTGAAAACATCACAAATATATTTGCAAAACGGGCCTCCTGCTCCTGCAGGACAATCACACTGTTCAATATCCTATATGTGAATCAACAGTATAGGTATACCATAAAAGATTACCATCTTTTGGGATGAACTGACAATAAAACTTCTAGGCATATGTGCTCTTTTCCCATTTGTGTTATAATACTTAAGAGGGCGCATCAGTCAAAACTGCCATGCAGAGGTCAGTTTGGTACCAAATCATTAATAAACTATAAGTGTAAGCGCAAAAGTGGTTGGTACATATTAAAGACGAAGGTTGAGAATAGGATATGAAAGAATTTTCCAGCGAAATTCGATTTGTGTAAAAAAATATATGGTAATGAAAAACAATAACATTGACAACGTTTGTGTAACAGAATCGAATAAAAACCTGGCATACCCTAAGTTAGCAATTCAATAAATTTTTGATGAAATAATCAGCTTCTGGAACATTGTCGTTTGGGAATGTATTGTTCGTAAAATTAATTCTGACGTTTCTGCATCTATTTTCAATATCGCCATATTGTTAGCGAGGTTTCGACAGTGGCCGAGTAGTTCAGCTATTGTCTTTCAGAGGGCTACACAGTGAAACTACCGTACTGCGCTCCTTCAAGAACTAATACAAACATTACAGTTCTCTTTCTATTCATTTCTTCTTTCTGGGTCCGGGGAACAGTGTTGCCAATAAGGCGCTTTTTAACTTCGTTTTGCGTCATTGCGATTTTTTGTAAGTAATTGCGCTTTTTTTTCTTTTTATAGTCTATCGAGTGTATTGCATAACTGACTCTGTTGATTGATAATATTAATCTAATATATAAAATTCTCCTGTCCCTGTCACGGTGTTTGACGCCAAACTCCTCCGAACCGCTTGGCCGATTCTTATGAAGATTTTTGTGCATATTCGGTAGGTCTGAGAATCAGTCGTAAACGATTTTTCAAATTGAAAATTCAAGATGGCGGATATCCAATATGGCGGACGAGTTTTGTAATCCGATTCTATTCAAAATTGGCATCTGAGGGTTTTCGGGATCGGATATTATGATTTCTTCGTCAAAATGAGGAGATTCAGAATGGCGGATACAATATATGGCAGACGAGTTGTTCAAATATAATCCGATTCTGTTCAAAATTGGTATCTAGGGGGTTTTCGGAGTCGGAGATAACAATTATTTCTTCAAAATTTGGAAATCCAAGATGGCCGATCCAATATGGCGGACAAGTTTCGAAATTATAGACCAATTGTTTTCGAAATTGGTATCTGGGATTTTTGGGTCACAGATTCAGAATCTCTAGTCAAAATTGGGAAATTCAAGATGGCGGTTTCAATATGGCGGACGAGTTTTGTAATTATCGACCAATTCTATTCAAAATTGGTATTTGGGGGTTTTCGGGGTCGGATTCGAGATTATGATCATTTGGTCAAAATTGAGAAATTCTCATATCCCATATCTCAATCGTAACGTAACCACCACTGTTCTTCCAATTTATAGAAAATAGTTTTGATTATCTTGAATTCCCATTCAAAAAACTGGTGTTGAAGTAAGTATACATAATCCACTCATGAAAGGTAATATTCATAATTAAAAATTAGTGTAGGCATAAACAAAATATTGTCTTTTGTGATAGGCCCATATGAAACTCAAAAGATTATTTTTTATGAAAGCAAGTAATCAATCCTTTCCTCCTTTTCTCATTTGCTAAGAATTAGAAATCTGGTGCTACTTAGTTTCAACCAGTGACCAGTGATGCCAGGTCTAAGGAAATGTCATGAACATAAACGATTGACCCCTACTGATATATACAAAAACATCAGTGTTATAATATAAAATAGCAGAACGCTGGCAGCACTGCAACTGGCGGAGCGGGCGGTGTCGCGGTATCAGGCAGTGTGTGTGATTCCCCGAACGATTCCAACTGGAGTTCAAAGAAAAATCGATAAGTGACCAGTGTTGCCAGTATGGGCGATTTCTCGACAATAATTGGGCTATCTCTGAACCTATTTTGGCGACCAAAAATTGAACTTGGCGACAGGCGACTTATTGAGACGACTTGATGGGCTTCTGGGAGTGAGATGAGTATCGCGAGTCCAAATTCAATGGCTTTGTGGCTTTACCATCCAAGTAGATTCGAGTCATCCGCACAGAGCGAGATCCATTTGACGTTAGCAGGTGTTTTGTTTATATTATGTTTCTACACTCTACAGTATCATTCATAAAGTTGGCATCATATGGGAAAAATTTTTGATAATAATATATCATAAACATCTCATCTATTTTCATCAGGTAAATGTGTCTGAAATGTTTCAAAAACGCACAGAGAAAACATGTCAACAAAAACTTCAAAATCTCCGGGAAGTTCAAATGATTATAAGAACCAAAGGTACAATGATACGTATAACTTCTTCATTCTCTGGCCACAGAACTCTGAAATAAAAAGAGAAAATCCCTTTCAACGAAAACCTATATAGATCCGGATCCAATATGCAAATTAGATCCGCCATCTTCAATTTCCTAATTTTGTCAAAAGAATCATAAACTCCGATACCGAAAACCCCCAAATACCAATTTTGAATAGAATAGGGTTATAATTACGAAACTCTACCATATTGGATCCGTCATCTCCATTTTTCTGATTTTGACAAAAGAATCATATTCCCCGATACCAAAAACCCTCAGATACCTACGAATTTTGAAAATAATCGGATCATGAACAAAACTCGTCCGCCATATTGGATCCGATATCTTTATTTTTTGAATGTCGACAAAAGAATCATAAACTCCGATACCGAAAACCCCCAAATACCAATTTTGAATAGAATAGGATTATTTTTTTTTTCGCTTGGAGCGCACGATAGGGAATCCCTATAATGTTCAAAGGAATGTTCAAAGAACATCGTGCGTTCCTAGAGAGGATAAGGATAGGAGGTAGGTATTGAAATTTTTTTATAATTACTAAATTCTACCATATTGGATCCGTCATCTTTATTTTTCTGATTTTGACAAAAGAATCATATTCTCCGATACCGAAAACCCCCAGATACCAATTTTGAAAATATTCGGATCACAAGTACAAAACTCGTCCGCCATATTGGATCCACCATATTTAATTTCCTTATTCTAACGAAAGTATCATTATTTTCAATCCCGAAAACCACCCGATACAGAGATTTTGAATAGAATCGGATCATAATTAGAAAACACGTCCGCCTTATTGGATCCGCCATCTTGAGTTTCCAATTTAAAAAATAGTTTACGATCGATTATCAGACCTACCAAAAATGCACAAAAATTTTCATAAGAATCGGTCAAGCCGTTTCGGAGGAGTTTGGCCACAAACACTGTGACAGAGAATCAATAATATATGTTAGATATAAACTATCGTATGACTTTCATTCTATGGTGAGGTCATCACAGGATGGGAATACTAGGTGGTAAATATAATAATGTGAAATATATCATTCCACTTATGAATTTCTACTACTACTAATTTGGCGACGCACTCTGATTAAATACTGGCAACACTGTAGGTGACTTTGTACCTGTTCCCTTAGTACAGCCACAAACATTATTCAGAGACATCTATTGATGAGGTTTCCTATTGATTGAATTGAATGTATCTAAAGGATTCTGTAGAAATAATTCATGAAACTATAATTATGGCGCCACTAGACGGCTGTGATATATTTATAGTTTCACTGGTGTCTGTGGGCGAACTATTTCACTGTGATGCGCGCCCTTAATACTGAATTTATAGGTACTCTTTTTTATTTCCGTGACTCCAAAATGAATCACCGTATTGCATTGTATAACTTAATCAGATGAACATTCCTTCACCTCCTTTATATCAACCATACAACAAAATAATAATAGTAATGATATTTGACAAATAATCGTAATAATAATGATGATGTTCATTTCTACCATAAACTATAAAAATAATGATTATTATTCTTCACAATTTATTTGCCGACTCTTTCTTTATTTTCAAAATCATTTGTTGATAGTGATGAAAACCTACTGATAGTTGAAAAAGTCGCCTAGAAACCCCCCCCCCCCCCCGGGCTTCACAATAATACGTCTTCTGTTCATCCCTGAGTAGATGACGGGAGAAAAACAACTACTCTCCTGGCTAATGCCACGCAGAACATTGAATTTATTTATTTATTTATTTATTGAACAAATAACTTCCAGACAGAATATGCTCTGGTATAAGGAAGTACATAATTATATACCTATAGGTAAACATAGCATCATTCAAAATATATCAACAACTGTAAATTGGCAAACAAAGAATAATATTTGTAATTGAAAAAAAAATGACATGATTAATTTTATCCAGTCCGCTGAGAAATAATCAGTTTTTTTACTTCATTTTTGAATATACCTATATTTCTGCAATTTTTTATATTATCAGGTAGTTTATTGAATTCAGTTAAGGCTGAATGAGTGAATCTTTTTTGTCCGATTAGGGAGCTAGCGGCGTCAAGATGGAACAAGTTATATTGTCTAGTTTCATGATTATAAATTTCAGAATTCCGTATCAAAATAATATTCGACTTCAATTTTTTATTTATGATATTATATGATATTTTGAGAGTTTCAATTCTATATATTTCTAAAGAATACGTATTTGTTAATTCATACAATTGATTGGTTGGTGTATCAAATGGGAGACGATACAATACTTTTAACGATTTTCTATATAATGTTGATATTTTATTGAAATTATTTTTTAAACAAGATCCCCAAACATTTATTAAATAGTTGATACGACTCAGTGTATGAGAGTAGAGAATCATGATTGCAATTTTAATATCAAGTTTGGGACATCTTCTCAATGCACCAATAATTGGAGATATTTTTTTTGTCAGAACATCAATATGTTTGTTTTTCACTCGTCATCTACCATTGTTGTTCATTCTAGGAACATTTATTTATTTATTTATTCATTCATTGAATCGAGTAAAATCTCCATTTTGTCATCGAATATCAATTACATGAATAATACATATTTCATATTGTATCTTCTTCACATAGGTTAGTGACCTGTGTGTGAAAGAGATGAATTATTTCACGTATAAAATTGTCTTTCCATAATATAAATACTCAAACTGAAAGCGAATAATCAATTCATACAATAATGAGAATAAAATGAAATAAAGCATAATAGAGATAATTAAAAAAGATCATCGATTTTTTTCGCATTTTCGATAAGCCAACTTTTAACTTCTTTTTCGAAAGTTATGATATTAAGGCGTTTTAATTTTGATGGTATTTCATTATACATTTCAGATCTAATACAACTAAATAGAATGTGTTCACAGGGTATAACATGAAGTTGTAGTCTTGTTGTAGCTATCTTGTGGCAAAGCTCTGAGGTAGGATACAGAGATATCGCGACATACACTGTATGGCGCTGCCATCTATAGTCACACGTACAGACCCCTACGTCTATACGCTACAGAGTGGTACTACAAGTAAATCACTCTGCTAACAGATGGCACTACCTGACATACTTGAGTGGAATTTTTCCACCACCTATTCAACTGCTAAATCTCATAACTATGAGATCAAGGATGAACAGAGTTACCCCAATTGTCAGCAGGAGCGAGACAGTACTATTTTGACCCACCAGGTCTCATCAGCCGCTCTCGGTCTGCTGACAACTGGGACAACTCTACGCTTCGGGTATATCACCCATTTCGAAGACGCAGGGTATAACATGAAGTTGTAGTCACAAGATGGCTACAACATGACTACAACTAGATGTTATACCCTGCATCTTCGAAATGGGTGATTTACCTGAAGCGTATAGTTATCCCAGTTGTCAGGAGACCGAGAGCGGCTGATGAGACCTGTTGGGTCGAAACAGTACTGTCTCGCTCCTGCTGACAATTGGGGCAACGCTGTTCATTCTAGATCTCTTAGTTATGAGATTTAGCAGTAGAATGTGTTCATTTAAAGTTATATTGATCTGATTCGATGTTTTGCGTGTCATTAGCCAGGAAAGTAGTTGGTTTTCTTCCGTCATCTACCATTGTTCATTTCTATTAATTAAAAGTTTTTTCGATCTGAATCGATGTTTTTCTCTTCCTTGCAGTACCTCTCCACGCCGCTGCAGCTCGGCCCCAACGGCATCTTGAGGAACTTCGGCCTGCCCGAGCTCAGCGAGTTCGAATCCTGCATGCTGGACAACGCGTTGCCGACACTGATCGGCGACATCAAGCGCGGCGAGAAGCACGCCGGCGTGGTCGATCCGCCGCCCTGCGACCCTTGCGACCCCAACATCTATGCCCCGAAGTGTCCGAGGAATTGGTGCGAGTTCAAGAAGGACCAGGCCGGCAGTGGATGATTTTGCGTGAGTGATGGCATGATTATTTTCGTAATATTCGAAACTGTTCCTTACTAAACTCGTGTTTTTGGGAAAATAATATACCAACATCTAATTTTGTGCCTACTGTTTTTGAACTCTACAGTGTGTCCATTTAGTGCGTAATTCTTCGATATCTCCAAAGCCATAACCTATAGAAAAAAACTTTGGAGGAAAAACTTCTTCAGTTACTCAAGTTGCTTAATTCAAAAATATTTTCAACATTACTGGGTGTTTTATAAAAGCGGGATGACTCGGAGACGAGTTTTTTTAAATGGAACACCCAGTATTGTTTATTCGGAATTTATTCCGCCGAGGTTTACCTTCACATCGCTGTAAAAAAAATTGAAATCGGTTACGGCGTTGCCAAGTTATAATTGATAAATCTATTGTTACCACTATCGAAGAGTCATGTTGAATTGGGCATGGTATATTCATTTATTCAAATTATGAAAAATGTTTGGCATACGGTAGTAGCAAGGTCTCACGTATACAAATTCAATAATTTTGCGACAAGTTCTTCAACAGGGTGCTCTATTTTGCATTTAGAATTTCGCAAGATTCAGATGGCATTCATTAGAATTTTTCGAATGGAACACCCTGTATTTTTTTTCACAAATTTACTCCGACATCTTTCACCTTTTTATCGCTGCAAAAAAAATCATAATCGGCTAAGGCGTTGTCAAGTTATGGATAATTTCCTTATTTTTACTACTATTTCGGAGTATAATTTTTACGTCATAGTTCTTTAATTATTCATTTAAATAATCAAATTACTTCATCGACCATTCATATATTTTTTTACAATAGGAACATTTGCACGCTCTCCAATTTTGAATTTAAATCAGAGTGAATTTGACAAATTGATCCAAAATGCTACTTTCACAGATTTTTTGCAGACAACGAATTAATTTTTCGAAGTACACTTCCATTATTCGTGTAATGACCTGTCAAACATCGCCACAATCGAATAATATCTTTATTATTTTTTTTTAATTTTGCTGAATTTCCTCCCGAAACCCGCGTAGTAAAGAAATATTGTTTGTATCATTATGTAGAGTTTGCCTCCTTCAAGTTTGATGGAGATTTGAATTGTGGAAATAACGACAATAAAAGTGGTCCAAATTTCAATTAATTGTCCTTATTCTCGCAATTCAAATCTCCATTGTTTGTATTGTAGAAGTTGTTTTAAAGGAAGGCGTTTTGCTATTGGCATGTTTGTTACACATAGGTACATATTATTTAAATCATAAGTAACAAGATTACGGAATATTTCAAATTTTGACAATGCTTATATCGCAAAGATACCTGAATGATCTATGTAGAACCTCGAATGTCATGTGGCAAGCAATATTCCCACAATCAAATCAAATAAAGGAACCATGCCTCATAAGTTGCCCTGAGATAGTGATAAACATAAGGAAATTACTCATAACTTGAAAACCCCGCAACCGATTTCAATTTTTTTTTTCAGCGATGAAAAGGCGAATGATGTCGAAATGAATCTGTGATGAAAAATACAGGGTGTTCCATTTGAAAAATTCTAGTGAACGTCGTCTGAATCTTACAATATTCAGAGTGTAAATTTTAGCACCCTGTGAAGGATAATCTCGCAAAATTACTGGATTGGTGTACTTGAGACCTTGCTACTACTGTATGCCAAAAATCTTCTCAAAATTTTAATAAATGTATATACCATACCCAATTTAACATGACCCTTCAATAGTAGTAAAAATGGGTTTATCAATTATAACTTGGCAACGCCGCAACCAAATTCAATTTTTTTCACAGCGATGTAGAGCTAAACCTCAGCGGAATGAATTTTGAATAAAAAATACTGGGTGTTCTATTTGAAAAAACTCGTCTCCGAGTCCTCCCGCTTCTATAAAACACCCAGTATTGTTGAAAATATTTTTGAAATGGAACCTTCAATAACGGAAGAAATTTGTTTCCAAAAGTTTTTCTCTAGTGATAATGGATTCCGAGATATCGAAGAATTACGCACTAAATGGACACACTGTATATTAATAATGATGTCAACGCGTCGGCAAGCAGATCGAGCTATCCCTTATTGTAGATACGGGGTATGTCACGACGAGCTTACACTATTTTTATATCGAGAATCAGACTGGAGGAATCCATGAAAATGTGCATTCTAATATTCTAGAATACGTTCTCCTCATTTAACATATTTTCGACAATGCAGTGTTGCCGCTTCTACTAGAAAGTAGTAGCGACATTGATATTTCAAATACAACACCCTGTATTTTATCACATATTTAGTTTCTCAATAAAGAGCTGATTTCATCACACTTGGGGTCGTTCCAAGAAGATTTCAGAGTTATAGGGTGTTCAAAACCGAGATTTTTCAACTTTAGAATTTTTGTGTCGAAACTATTCATTATCGGTCAAAACGGCTCACATGTACCTATCCCAACTTTTGATTCACTATCACTATTTACTGATATTTAATCGGAACAGATACAGGGTGGTTCAAGGTTCAGAATTCTGATCACCCTGTATCTGTTCCGATTAAATATCATTATTGCTGATCAATCTTCTATCTTCTATTCAAACTGCCCACTCATATTTTTTTGTATTGAGATTTCAATTTCATAATTAACAATATCATGACATTTCCATAGAGCCTAGACAATATACAGTGTGTCCCACTTACCATGCTCACCATGGGTATCTTTTTAACGGTGAGAGATACGAGGTCGGTTAAATGACACCAAATGTGGAGTTTGTCAAGGCCAACTATAATGTGAAAAAATATTTTGATAAAATCTATTCGTTTCTGTTTTATACGCAAAAAACAGATTTTGATCATTTTCATGTTTCCTCCGTAACTTCTTTATTTATGAAAATATTCAAATAGGAATTTCACATTCTCATGGCAGTTTTTCAAAGTGATTTAGAAAAACATGAAATTTATACCAACTCGTCTAAGTTGAGATATCAGCACCAACTTTAGTTTCTCAAATGTAGGTCATAGCTCACTATGACTTAGTTACAAATAACTTTTTTTTCTCTTACAGATATGATATGTCGCAGTAATAGTTTCGTGTTGATAACTGTATTATGTTTAAACACGGGATATAAGGCACGTTGGAATAAAACAACTTTTAACTTCACTCACTGACTGTCACACAACGACTGACTCAACCCCCGATCATCCAAGTCGTTATCACCCGATGAGTCAGTAGTGTGTGCATCATTCCTTTATTAGCTAATCTGCATACTACATCTCTCCCATGTTTTTCATTTCTTCATTACAATAGTTTTTCTTACAGCTAGGGTCTAACATTTTCATATAATGATACGTTATACAATACTATTCAAATTAACCGCTAATGCAGCCTTACCCCCATAACCTATGAACTTAAGTTACTAGCTAATACTAACTTATTTTATTCTATCAATAACAATAATGCCAACCTATAACTAACACAAAAGAATTCTTGATAATTGTTCATCAGAGGGAACTACGAGTTGTCAAAGTCAATTACGAGGTCAATTATTTTCTTTTGGTTCCTCCGCTATCTGAGGTGATACCTTCCATTCTCCTTCGATTTTTTTCAGGTGTATCACGTTCCTCCTTAGTTCCTGACCTGTCTCATCATTTCTGACTTGGATATCGGCTCCTTTTTTATTTATTACCGTATGGGGTTCCGGAATGAAGGTAGGACAGGTTTTGTTTTCTCTCCGCATGTCTTTAATGTATACCTTATCACCTTCATGAAGGTTGTCTTCCTGTGCTCTCCTTTTTTTGGTCACTGTATTCTTTACCTTTCTCTTTTTGTAATTTATCATTATCTCTAACTTCGTCCTCTATTTTATTTTCGAGATATATTAAGCTTGGAATTTTATCTTTGAACTGTCTACCAAAGAAAAGCTCACCAGGTGGTTTTCCCGTGACAGAATGTGGTGTGCTATTGTACATAACCAAATAGTCAAGTAGTTCTTTTTTCCAGTCTTGATTTAGCGATTGACTTATTTTTATTCGTTTTAGTATGTCTCGGTTCTGTCGCTCCACTTCCTCGTTTTGTTGTGGCCAATATGGTATCGTGTGGAAGAGAGTTATACCACTTTCACGACAAAATTTTTTCAGTTCTTGGCCTGCAATTTGTCGACCGTTATCAGCTGTTATTGATGAAGGGTAGCCAATCCTTGAAAATATTTCCTGAAGTAAGTCGATTGTCTTCCTGGCGGTTGTGTCCTTCGTTATTCTAATTTCTTTGTAACGACTGTAGTAATCTATGACAACTAGTATGTATTCCTTACTAGGTAAAGGACCCAGATAATCGATTGCTATATCAATCCACGGTTTAGCTGGCAGTTCTCGCCGTTTCATAGGATTGGGCAGAGCTGGTGTTGAAACTAAAATACAGCCCTTGCATGTTCTCACTAATTTTTCCGCGTCATTGTCAATTTTGGGCCACCATACCTTCGTTCTTAGTCTGGCTTTCATGGCTGAAATTCCTGGGTGACCTTCGTGGGCTGCTAAAAGAACGTTTTGTCGTAACTTCTTTGGTATCACCAGTTTACTTCCCCTTAACAATATACCGTCGTGAAAGCATATTTCCGAGTGAAAAATTTTGTACACGCTCACTGATTTATCCCAATCACCATCGAATAAACCCTTCTTGACCTTACCAATTTCTTCGTCTATTTCAGAGTGGTATTTAATTTCGGCTAGAGAGATTGCTATAGGTCTTGAGTATTCGATTAAATTGTTTATTGATTCGTCATCGTAAGGTTTGGAAACATTTTCGGGACAGAGTCTTGATAACGGGTCTGCGATGTTTGATTTTCCTGGCTTATAGATTACCTTATAATTATAGGACTGGAGACGCAAGATCCAACGCTCTATGCGGACATTTGGCTTAGATTTTGGTCCGAAAATGACTTCCAGAGGTTTGTGGTCTGTTTCAAGTTCGAATTCTTTTTTACCATACAGATATACTTTAAAGTGTTCGACGGCCCATACCATGGCCAAGGCTTCTTTTTCCATTTGGCAATATTTCTTCTCACAATTCGTCAGGCTTTTGTTCCCAT